GTCTTAGGCCGGCCTATCGCCCAATTCGAGCGTGTGGCGAGATGTGCGCATAGCAATATCGATCGCCGGGCGGTCACATCTTGCCACGCGCTCGAATTGGGCGGTAGGCCGGCCTAAGACAACGATTTTTAATAATTAATTACTCGTTAACTATTACGAAAATTGCAAAATGGTACAGGACTTTTCCATTCATCTCGATCCGTTCTACCTTCTCAAAAATTTTGTCGGATATGGAAAGACTCACCCTGTATACATAGTTTTTAACTTGTTTATTATCTCGCTGATTACCAAGATAAACTTTTAATGCTTGCCAAGTACGAACACGTGAAAAGGCAACATAAAGTTGTCCATAATTAAAAACATCTTTGCGAAGATCTATTCCTACTTTGTCAAATGTTTATCCCTGTGACTTATTAATTGTCATCGCAAAAGCTAATTTTATCGTCTCTTCCTCCTCCTTTCTCTATCTTCCCTTTCTTCTCCTTCTTCATACACATAACATAAACTGTCAAAATAACCCTCTTAAATACAAACTGTCGAAACCGCAATTCGAAGTGAACGACTCGCAACGAGATCGACACATAAACTGTCAAAATAACCCTCCCTATTCCCTGTGCCTGACCTACCTGACCAATCACAGTGGAGACTGGGACAGACACGTGGTTTTAAAATGCAGATGATTGGACAGCACGCCTATTGCCAACGAATCATTGTGTCTTGGCATTACATAGATTTCTATTCCCTATTCCTATTCCCTATTCCTATTGCCTGTGCTTTCCTATTGTGTGATAGGCTTTAAATGCAAACTGTCAAAACCGCGAGTCGAAGAGAATCGACTCGCAACAAGGGGTTTGTTTTCTGTTCCTGCACTGGTGAACCCATACAGCACAAATTGTTGCAGAAAGGTTTCAGAAAGATTTCAAAATTATTTCGATATTTCACATTTCATGCTCAACATTTCTGACAGAATTCTGCAATATGTCATATAAAATGATGCAACAAAAATGTTTCAGAAATCTATCACATGCAATAAATTTGAAAAAATAATGCGAATATTACAAAAAGATTTTTCTCGTCTTTTGAGTCACATATATGGAACGTTGAAATGCTTGCCGCGCTGCAAAAGACGACACGGTAGCCCATCAACTTACAACTTTTGTAAAAGTATAATAAAGCAATGATTGACTACTGCGTCATCTTTTAAAATTTCAAAATATTGAAATAATTTTGCAGCAAACGGTTTGCTGTCGTAGCAAAATATTGAGCTATCACAACTAAAAATATTAGCTGTCCCTATTTTGCTAAGTTTTAGCTACAGCAGCTACATTGTTCTTTCCGTGCAACCACGAACATTCAAATCCGCACATACACACACACACACACACACACATACACACATACGGACATTTTGTAAAAATGTAATTTTTGGACGTTTTAAAACTTTTTAAACATTTCCCAAAGAAAACTGGAAAAAAAATTTTTCACGAAAACCTGATGGTTAAAAAGTATAGTATACGTAACACATACTATATAGCTTTTTAACTATCAGAGGTAAGCTACCTGACACTTGGAAAAACCGACTTTTAGTAATTTTTCAGAAACCCTTCTATTAAGTTTCAAGTGTAAGAATCGCGGACATTTTACTGTTTCATAGCTGTCTCAGAGCTATTGCAGAAACATTTTGTGATATTTCTGAAATATTTCTAAGAGATTTTTGTAACCTTACAGAAATCTTTCTATAAGCTTTCAAGTGTAAGAATCGCGGACATTTTACTGTTCCAGAGCTGTCTCAGAGCTATTGCAGAAACATTTTGCAATATTTATGAAACGTTTCAATCTATCACATGAAATATTTCTGAAATATTTCTGAAAGGTTTTTGTGCTGTATGGGGAACTAGTGCAGTAAGCTAGAATGAGAAAAAATATGCTTGTCTTACTCCAATTTATTGCACTAGTTCACTATAAGTGTAGGAACAGAAAACAAGCCCAAGATCGAAATCGAGTTTCGAGAGAGCCAATCGGCATCGCGGAAAAGCGACAACAATGAACTCGCAATGCCTTTTTTAGATAGGGATGGTACATAAACAGTTACATTCCTTACAGAGATTGTCCTAGCTATGGTGTCGAAATTCATTTTTATCCAATGCGAATGATTAATATTTAGTCGTAAAACCTAAGCTTTCCAGAAGTTATTACTAGAATCCCATGAGATAACATGCTTGTCTAAAAGACATCTTCAAGACTTCTTTAAGACGTCTTTAAGATATCTTTTAGACGTGTATGTCTAAAAGATGTCTAAAAGACGTGTTAAAGACGTCTTAAAGATATCCTTTAGACATGCATGTTATCTGGGATGTTGCTGCCATAAATTTTGTAGGACACAAACAATTCTCTAAAGGCCTGTGCCCACGACGCTAAAACTTGGTCCAAGTTCTAGTTCAGAGAACTGGCTGCTTGCAGCTTTTATGGAACAGCTGCAAATTGACTGGCAATTTGGGCCAAGTTTTAGTATCGTGGACACAGGCCTTAACAGATACACAAAATAGTAATAAATTTCTATTGCGACACCCAGAAATTTACCTGCGTTGGTAAGATACTTTCTTGAGCGTATACTCCGACTTTACATGCTTCTGAACCGAACGGATGCGGTGAACTTATAAAATTTACAAAATGTCAACGTTTATTTTTATTCGACGTTGTGCACATATCGATCCACTTATTTACTCATTCATTTATTAAAGATTATTATATTAAAGAGAACAATAATTCTACTAGAAAATATAACTGCCGGAATCCAAGAAATTCTACGTAAATTTTAAGTGTTACAAGAATCAATATGAAAATGCTAAGATTGGAACACTTTTGTTAATTTCTGTAATATTCTACAAGTAAGCAGATGTTTTAATTCTTTAAGATTTTGCTGTTTCTCAAATTTTTTAAACTAGTAAAGTTTTGTACTAATCTTTACAAAATTGTACATTTTCATGAAATACTACTTGCAATAATTTCTTGATTCGAGAACATTGTAACTTGTGGTACTATTTCGTGGACATTTTTACAAAAAAAATTAATGTTTCGACGAAGATACAGAAATTTCTACTTCAAGTCAATTTTTTCCGCTAAGCCCTGACGTCGAGTACTGCATTTTCCTTTAATAATGCAACCGAACGCGTTATCTCCCGGATAATTCCAGTTAGATAAACTGGACTTTATTCTTAATTTAATTTGCGCATATGTGAAACGGCGTCTCGTAAATGTCACTGCCGTAAATACATCTTGTTGTGCAACCAGCTCTCGAGTAAAAATGGCACGCGTGCGATATCTCGCTCGCGAAACGTTGAAATCGTATAATTTTTTCATCTTATTCCACTCCTCCTTGCAACAATCCGTGCAATTACAGTTCGTTTTTACATCATAGGTTCGCGAGTGCGCTACACGACATATGCAAAACGATACGAAATGTTTAACGGATAAGAGAAAGTATATACGGTGAGAGCATCGGAAGGCGAATCGTTCATACGTCGATACAGAACAGGTTTGAATTAAAATGTCGTCGTTAAAAAAGTTATGAGAAACTGCAATGGTTGCACAACAAGAGACGCTCTTCTAAAGTAATTAACTTAATTAATTATCTGCCCTAAACATTATGTCGATCGTAAATATTCATTAAATTTATTACGTAGGATTTATAAAATATTCCCGATGAAAAGCTTCCTACGCGAAGTATAAAAAAATATCAGTTTCAAATTCAATCTCATCTTATCGCGAGTATTTAGAGAATCGCAATCCGGAATGCATTTCCTTGCAATCAGATCTTATCACGGAGAGCGATGCAATCCAATATATTCCATTTGTTTAACATTCCCGCTGAAACGCGGAAGCTGCGCTTATCGCTCGTTTAAACAGTAGGAGGATGAAGGTAAAAAGATACCAACGCGGGTGAAATGGAGGAAGTGCGGTTTGTAGGAAACTTCTACGGAAATCGTTGAACGTTAAATCGCGGCCATTAAACTGCATCTCGATGTGAATTGCAGGAGACTGTTTCTGCTACGACTGCGCCGCCGCCGGACCGGACCTGTGGGCCTCCTGTTGCCGCGAAAGCCTGAGATGCTGCTCTCATCTCGCGGCGGCCTGCAGGACGTGCGATCACCCGACGCTGTATCCCTTCTGCGCCAAGCACTTCAAGAAATGTCTAACGCAGTACAACGAGAGGAAACAGAATTAGAAACGCAATCGGGATCTCCTCAGCGATGTCTCTCAACTGTGATAGTTGGCTTACCGTGGACGATCATCCAGCGACAGAAGCGCACGGCCCATCCTCCTCGATTACATTTGTCAAAGTTTGCATCGTAGCCGCTCGGATCGAACGCTACTAACTATCGGAGACGCAAGATACTTAACTTGACCCGTATTGCAAGTTGCACAACGTTTACGCCGTACCTCTAAATATAGCGTTTTACCCTCCAAGCCGTTAAACTGGTCCAACGGTACCTGATTGTTTCTGGGTCCAACTTTGTTCCAACGAGAATTTTTAGTTCTGCAATCGATGGTACCTGCGTCTCGGTGTCGTTAAACGACGAATCTACAAATAATGTAAAAACAATGAATCTGAAATAATGATAAATCACTTGTTGTTAGCAGAAACAAAAATTCTTGTTTCGGTTCTTTCAACGTGTACACAGGAAGTAGTTCGTTGTAATCGAATTTATAAAATGTAGTCAACGTGTACTGCGGAGAACGCGCTTCTGTGGATTTATACTTACCCGATAACTACGATAATTTGTGCTTAATTATTGTCGGTCCGAATCTTGGCTGCTAATTATACAGGGTGTCCCATTTTAACTTGGACAGTAAAATATCTCGAAAACTGAGCCCAGCAGACAAAAATGTTTCAGACAAAAGTTGTATGGTTTCGAGGGGGACATAAGATGGTACCATTGGTTTGACCTTGAAGAAATATTTGAAGGTCACATAAAGGTCACACCAATTTTTTTTTAACGGCATCCCCTATTTTTTATTACATGTTCTTGTAGCTGACCTCGAGAGCTTTCCAAAACGCTATAATAAAGTATTTTTGTATTAAGAACTTTTTGAGTTATTAAGGTTTGAAAGTTCCAATATTTTGACATAAATTACAAAATATTTTGTAAAATATTCATTTTTTTATCATCTTACCTTAATACTTTTTTGAACAGAATAATGAGACAAATCAACCGGTGTAAAGAAAACACAATTGTTAAAAAAATTTTTTTTATTACTTGTTACAAAATTGTGTTTTCTTTACACCGGTTGATTTGTATCATTATTCTGTTAAAAAAAGTATTAAGGTAAGATGATAAAAAAATGAATATTTTACAAGATATTTTGTAATTTATGTCAAAATATTGGAACTTTCAAACCTTAATAACTCAAAAAGTTCTTAATAAAAAAATACTTTATTATAGCGTTTTGAAAAGTTCTCGAGGTCAGCTACAAGAATATGTAATAAAAAATAGGGGATGCCATTTAAAAAAATTGGTGTGACCTTCATGTGACCTTCAAATAATTCTTCAAGGTCAAACCAAAGATACCATCTTATGTCCCCCTCGAAACCATACAACTTTTGCCTGAAACATTTTTGTCTGCTGGACTCAGTTTTCGAGATATTTTACTGTCCAAGTTAAAATGGGACACCCTGTATAATCTACAGACAGTAAGAGCGCCTTTGGGAGAAACATAAGTAACTTCTATCTACTGGATAAACTTATACTAAAATTGAAAAGCTTTCGCATTCGTGGATTTACAGATCGAGATCTTGGTGTACAAATTAGTGAACTTGTACATCGTACGCTCGTAAATTTATGAATACACGGGTTCATATACCACCAGCATTTTATTTTTTTTATCGTTGGCAAGACATTGAATAATTAAGAAATAACTATAACAGAACACACATAATCTTGGACTCGGCGATATAAATATAGATTAATTACCAATACGAACGAAAGTCTCGCAGATGCGTTAATCCAAAAAGAAAAACGAACGAAAATATTACAAAAGATAAATAAATATCACCTTTTAATACAATCATTGGTAAGCTTTATTCGTATAGTTTCCAGAGTATTCGGTAATCTTTATTTATCTACTAATTCTATAAATCGTGGGGACAACGCTTTTCATTCGGGCAAATGTTCCAAGATCAGTGTACGAATTTCGCAATTTCCTTTTCTTGACAAAATAAAAAATGTGCGCACGCCACGCAGTCTTCAACGGCTTAATATTCGTAATTGTGAAACTGTGTCTGCGTCCCCCGCAAAAACGAGCGGGCGACAAAGCCGACCCGTATTTTTTCCCCCTTTTTTCCTTGCATCTCGCGAACGCCTTAGAATTCTAGTTCTGCTAAATATTCGCCATCCCTCGTTTCTGTCGTGTAGCGAAAAGAGAGTTTCTCTTCTTTTTTTTTAGGATATAAAATTCTTTCGCACTTTGAAAGCGCTTAATTGCTAACAGCACCACACAGAGATTAAAGAGAGACAAGACTAGAAAAGAAAAAATAGAAAGAAACGTATTCTTTTTGTCTGTGAGAAACGAGACGCAATCTGGTTTTACCGAATGTAGTTAATCTATTTGTAGATAATAATAATGATGATGACGATGACGATGACGATGATGACGATGACGATGACGATACTTTGCTCTTTACCGAATCAGCGTAAATTCCAGGAGTCATATAAATCATATATTTCAGGCACATGTCTGCACCATTAATTTTATAGAAAAAATTAAACAGTACTTTTTTTCCGTTTACATCATTTATATCGGATATCCACATATCCGTTTGTATTAGGAAACAAATTCAAATTCTCATATCAATCCTTTCGTTACAAATCTCGTAAGCGATTGCGGAATTGATGAAGCTCGTTTCCAAGTAGTTTTACGTGAAACTTCATTGACGTCAGATGTCATTTTCAAGTTTTCAGATGAATCGAGAAAGTGGCCAGTCAATAATTTAATTACCTTAGTATAGGAAAATTGATAACAGACACATTAATCATAACTTAATTACGCACAATTAAACTGATTTAAGAAACTAGGAATATTATAATTGAATTGAAATAACATAATTAATTCGTAATCGTTTACACAATTTAATTTGAATTGCTGTTTGAGGAAAAATGGACTTGTGTCAAGTAAAACAACTGGGAAGCGGCCGTCGATTATCCAAATTATATAAACAAAATCGCTCCATTTTCTCGGGGAAGTACGTTCAAGCTTTTAAGAATCTCTCCTCTTTCATGTTGTCATTCTATTTCGCTCCCGGGTCTCATGTTAGGATAACGACGACAACGACGACGACGACGACGACGGTAGTGCCCCGATGACGGTAATTAGTTGACGACATATTATTACGTTTTCTCTTACACAAAAAACACAGATCTTGATCTATTATGCGATCGTAGACTTATTATGGTGTACATGTATATCAAGTACGAGTTCAAAATCTATCACGTAGTACAAAGAGAGATGATTATGCGCTATTTTAGTTTATTAAGTTGTATCATATACCGAGAAATATCAAGACTATAGTACTATATATTTAATTGATTCGGAAATGTATGAGACCAAGATCGGTTAGCCCAGAATTAATTAAATCAGACTATCAGCGGAGGAGAAAGATGGAGGGGGGTGGGGGGTGGGGGTAGAACTGGTATTACTGGGGACAAGTGCCGGAGTACTTTTTTTTTAACTCGTTCAAGTGCAGACTCGTAGAGGACGTCGTAAAAATCCGGCGGTCGCCGTGTTGTAACAATTCGCAAAAATCTCGATTACGTATCTCCTCTAGTAAGTTTTCTTTAAATACTTGGTACATCAAATGTGACATGAAATCAATCGCGCTGCGTTAACTCGAATCCCGAATTACCGTTACAGATTCATCTGAGTCTCGTTTTCAACAAGAACAGTCCATGTTAAGTCGTGTGTATACAACGCGCCCCGAGTGCGTGGTCCTTGCGCGTGACACGAGGCCCCGATTTAACGTACGACCTTGACGTCGCGCAAGAAAATTCATTTTGTGCGCAAATATAACACTCGTGTGTCGCTCTCCACTAGACTCGCATACCCCGCCGTATGTCAAGAGAGAAAAAGATTGCTATACATCTCACAGGTGCTGACTTATAATCCACTCACTCGCGCTTTCTTACAAACATAATTTTTTTTTTACCTTTTCTCTCGCGTATATAGCTACTTTCTATCTTGCGTGAAACTCACCTTAAAAATACAGTTCGGACAAAATAATGATATACACATAATACAGGTACTGCCGGTGATCGCACAACTCGCTGAAGCCACCGGCAAAAATCGTCTTAACTATCTAAGGGCCTAGAAAGATCCTTTCCATCGACTTCGTTACCTCGTCTTACACTCGTGCCTTTCCTTCCCGCGATTATCTCTATTATTGTTAATAATCCGATTGTTAATAATCGCAGTCATTTTACACTTATTATTGATTTATTTAGTGCCTTGTAAACGTCTATTTGGTTCTTTATATTATGTTGTATAACAGAGTTGTCTAACTTACGACACATCATCACGCGAGCGAGCGAGCGAACGTTTTTACTTTCCACCGTATTAGACAGATACTCACTTACGAACAGACCAGAATCAAGAGAGAGATGAGAAGATACAGCGGAATCTTGCGCAAATGTACAATATGCGCAAGTGAACAACGTACTTTGCTATTAATAACATTCATTATTATAACGACAAATGAGACAGGATAGACAATACGCACAAAGAACAAAAACAGCGGGGGGTGATCGCTCACTCGCGCCTAGTTAGGCAACTCGGTGTTCATAATCCAAGCAATTGTATTCAATATTATAATATGCTTGCTGATACGCTTAAATTAATTATTATGTTTATATATCAGTTGTTCAGTGGATAACGTTAACGACACGTTAACGACACGTTAACGAAACTATAACGTGTAAGAGAAAAGTTCGAGAAAAGGGAAACGAACGACATTTCCAATACGGGGGGGAGGGAGTTCCGTTGGTCTCCACTAAACAATGAATTGTGATCACTTAGACGCGACGCGATTTGTGTATTCCAACTCATGCGTACGTAGAGTGCACGTTTCAGTGACGGAAATAAAACCTTTACCCCTTAGATAACAATAAAGTCGTAAACGTACACGTCAATTGACATATTCACACGATTAATTATCCTTTATACAATATTAGTGAATGTCATCCCTTGAAGTTGAGCTTTACCTTAACAGACACTAAATGTTCCGGTTGGCATCGTAGTGTAACATTCAGGCGAACAGAATTACGGCTGCACACTTTGCTAAATTTCCCCTTATGCCTCTCTATTTTCCATTTCTTTTCGAACACGTTCCTTTCAAACACGTTCTTCCCAAACACGTTCACTGTTCGCATTTCTTTTTACCGCTAGATCATCCCTTAAATGCGTCCGGTTACGTTTTCCAGTTATGCGGATGGGCTCTCGGTGGTGCTTGATTGCCTTGCGCTTGAGACGCCTGCGACGGAATCATATCGAGCAGATATTGACGTTGAAGGTCCGCCGCTTGTCGTTGTAGCTCTACGAGGCCTTTGCCACCGGCAGCCATCGCTAATTGATAGGGATACAGTATAGAGGTAAAATGCGGCATCATGTGAGCAGGAAGAGGTTGATGCGGCGGTAAACCGGGTACTGGATTCTTCGCCAACTCTGGAACAATGACGAAGCGATAAATTGAAAACCAAGTTGACTCTCCCTCAGAATTTTGCGGGCATGTGTCTTCGCCTCACCTCTGAGCAATTGTTGCTGCAAGGCTGCCGCGGCAGCTGCGTGATGCGGGCCGAACTTGCCGCTCTCCGCGGCCAGCTTCACCAAGGGATGCTCTTGCATTTTCGGCGCGGGGGGCGTCGGCGTTAACGTAGGTGCCGGCGGTACCTGCGGCGGAGGGGCAGGTGGTGTGGCCACTCTTCTTGTGGGAGTTGCTGCCTTAGGAACTGGTTTCGGGGCCGGAGGGTCGGGACTCGGACACGCCGCCTGCGCTAGCCTCTGCTCTATCTCCTGCTCTTGCTGCAGCGCTTTTACGAAAGCAGTTTTCAATCTGTAACACAGTGTAAAGTCCATTATCCAAATCCAGACTTGACGCATTGTTTAATCGTTTCCATTTATTTTGCAAGAATGTTCATTATATTTTCAATTATTCGCTTACTTAAAAGAATATTACATGGTAATGGATGGCAATTTATGAGAGGGAAAGAAAAAATGAAGCAAAATAAAAAGTCACTAATGTTCTCGCACGATTGATATTTTAATATGTACGTAAAAACCTACCGATTAGTGTGTTCCGCTTTCAATGCTTTCTTCACGTTAGTCGTCACGCAGTGCTCACATATGACCCTTGGGTCACGACCTGCTGACGGTCGCTGGAAAGTCGCGTGTTGCCCTCTGGGACTGTCCTTTTTACCACCGGGCATAGGCTTTTCCCACTTCCAAACGGGTGTGAAGTCTGTTTTGCATTGCGAGCACTCGAATGGTTCGGGAGGCGGCGGTATGGCCGGCTCCTTCGTTATAAAGTCGACCACGTGTTCCAAACCGACCAAATATATGAATTCCGTGTTGGAGGGATTTGGTACGAAGTGCATCTCCGGGGGCGGCGGTTTCGGCGGTGGTATTTGTAACAGTGTTTTCTCGAGCTGCTTTCTTAGGGCCATCTTGGCAGCTGCTTGACGCTGAGCGGGTGTCTCGTCTCGCGTTGTTCTCTCCTATGTTATCGCAAACGTGGAACAAATGTTATTTGATGCAATTAACTCTCCCTCATTCAGTTAATATCCCAATAACACAAAAGACGAACATCTTAAATAAAAGAGAAATACAAACGTATAAAATAAATGGTAAAACAATATAGATCATTCGGTTTCATGTGCGCGTTTATGTTCGTACAATATGCATGCAAATTAGAATTTAAATGCCCCTTGTATGCACAATATTTCTCTCTTCACGTGTGTACAATAACACAACCACATTTAAGAAATAAACATGTTAGTAAAAGTTCAGCAACGCTGCATGTTATAACTTGTATTATGCGTGAAAGCTTTTAGCAAATTCGGTTGCTTGTACTGTGCGCATGATGCGTGAACACTGAGGCCTGTTTATAGTCAATTCTTACATTTAACTGTTTTAAATACATGTACAAAGAGTATTTAGCCCAAACATGATCCGTACAGATGCTATACAGATTATTTTATGGGCTGAGAAATATTTCCAGAGAAATTTAAGATGATCCTTAAATATAAGAATTGACTGTAAACAAGTCTTAGGCCGGTATTCAGATCTTAGATTCAAGACAGTCTTATCATCTTCAGATACTCTATAGCCAATGAAACGTTCCATACAGTATCTTTAGATAAATTCAAGACGGTCTTGAATATAAGATCCATAGACTTATATACATAGATAGACTACACTGAAGAATAGAGATATTGCATGATGCCTCTCTCTCTCTCTCGCTTTTTGTTAAGAGTCGGGAGAAAACAACAGAAAACAAAGACACGCTCACTCAGGCTAGAGACCCTGTAATCAGAGACTGGCCATAAGAGCTCGTCAAATTTCTACGAGCGATTCTACGATCGTAGAAGAGTGAGATAGCCTCTGTTTCTCTCTCACTCGCGGGAATTTGACGAACCCTTATGGCCAGTCTCTAACACAGGGTCCTAACTCAGGCTATTGCTCGCGCAGTTTATTTGCACAAGTCTATGATCAGATCCGACTATTAATACTGGTCTTGGTGCGCACTGGTGCAAGCAACTGAATTCGCTATTAGATACTAGATTTTTCTGTATACAGCTTTATTAGAAGTGAAGTGAGGTTCAATATGTACTTAAAATTCGCCAAAGTCTCATTGTCGAGAATTCGAGTACTCATAAGAAATGTTATTTGATACATTGTACTCGTAAAGTAATCGAATCTCAACTAGTTGGTTTCGAATTCTAGAATGACTGTAGAGATTCGAAAGGTACTTACAAGTACTGTCCCTTGTAAAGAATCGAATCTTTCACAAGTAGTACTCGAACTTTCAGAATAAAGTTGTTAATAATGTAACTATATTTTTATCATATTGTTCATATCGCATGTATTAAAACCAAAGTAATAAAAACTTAGACTTGTGATTTACATAATTTCATTTCTCTCTCTTCTTAAACGATTTTCTTTCTACAAACGTTTCGATTCCAAGAAAATGTTTTGGTGAAGCAGAGGAAAGTCGCAAATTATGAGACAGATTTCCAATATGAGATAGCAGGTTTTCAACCTCCAAACTCAATCACAAATCTCATCTAACGATGAGTTTTTTTATTAAACAGGTTTCACTCCAGGAGCAATAAATTCATAGTGGAATCAACAGATGATGCCTGTTAATGTAGTAGAAACCCCGCTATCTTTTATTAAGATCCTCTATCTCATAATAGGGGACTTTTCTCTACTCACGAAAGATTCGATCATATTTGATCGAGGTTCGAGTCTACTTGGAAGTACTACTTTTGATTTTCGTGGCACTTGTAAAGGATCCAAACCCATTTCGTCCAGGTTTAAGTACAGCGATACTTGCATTTTGCAAAGTAATCACAAAGTTTGAAACTTGGTAAGAGTTTAGGAATACTGCATGTGGTAATTTGTACCATGCATTAATGACGATTTGAACACTAGATTTGTCTGTATACAGTTAGCAAACTGAAGAATCATCAGAGACAAGAAGCTCGGAAAGTAAAGCCCAATTAAAACGCATAATCAATATGGAGAGAAAAAAACAAACAGAGTAGCCTTTACAGAATATAGACAGAACGAGACATTACACATTGATCGACGAGTGAATGTACCTGCTCCGAATTCACAGGTGTGCTTAAGGATGCGGTGGTTTTATTTTCTTGCGATCCAGCAAGCAGCTTTGTGTTTAGAAAAACACATAACAATGGATTACATACGTTGTTCACAATTAGAGAATCACTTAACACTTTCACACTGCCGGGACAGCATTCGCGGCAACGATCGCTCGTGATGTACCGCGGTGAAGGTGTTAGGCTCTTAAAATTATTCGTATAAAGGACGAGAGTTTCGACAGTCTGATAAACTTACTCTTAACGTTCACGTAAAGCTACAACTGTACTTACGTAGGGTATAGTTACAACTATGTAAAGCTAATGACGAGAGTAATAAAGAAGTGCGATGATATACCTTACTTACTTGATGCGCGGGAGTCGGCGTCGGGTCCTTCGTCGACCTCTCCGTTCTGTCCGTCGGCGCGTGATAACTCGAGACAGTCGCCGCCGCCACACTGGGCGGTCTACCTCTAGGATGAGGTGGCTGCGGTATCACCATGTTCGGAGGCATCCCGCCTGTACTTGGAATGGCATTTCGACCGGCAGTAGGCGGTAGCACCATGCCGGGTGGCGGAGCATGTAAACTACTACTTCTGCTCGGCGCAGGCTGACCCTTGAGTAAAGGCGGCGGCGCTTTCCCGGCTCTGCGATGAAGAACGCAACGTTACATTTCGATCTCATTTGAAGCCGTGTCGCAAGACTGACAAGTTAGTCGCGCACAGTTCTATCTCGATTTCTATCACGCTGATGTGACATTGGTGAAATAACGTTAGACCTTTTATCGCGATAAATATTGCCGCATGCCTCGGTGGTCGAATCGCCGAGACGCCCGCCCAAGGAAATCCAGGTTCAAACTCTGGCCGAGGTAAATTTTTCGCGATACATTTAAAAATTAGAAAAAGAGAGAGAGTAGCTCTTTCGCTCGTGTATTGTATTAACAATTAATAACTACTGAAAGGCCAAATTAACGAGCATTAACGGGTGTTCTTTTTTTTTAAACTATTGATAAAATTACTTTATTCCTCAGCTAGTAAGAATATTCTTAAAGTCGCCAGAAGTAATTAATAAATTAATAACATCAGTGATTTTTGTTGACCGTATCTGGCAATTAAAATTCTTATTGCGAAAAATATTACCCCAGCCAGGATTCGAACCTGGGACCTCCCTAATCCGTGACGGGCAAAAAATCGTGTATCGACAGTTCATTGTGCGGTCGACAATCCGTATCGACGCACAGTTTCTGAAAAGTCGAAATAGACGCGTAAACAACATCTTAAGTTATATACATTTTATTGCGAATAGTATTATCACAGCCCCAGTGGTCGAGCTGGCTAAGACGCCCGTCACAGATTAGGGAGGTCCCAGGTTCGAATCCTGGCTGGGGTACCAGCCCCAGTTGTCGAGCTGGCTAAGACTCCCGTCACGGATTAGGGAGGTTCCAGGTTCGAATCCTGGCTGGGGTAATATTTTTCGCAATAAGAATTTGAATTGCCAGATACGGTCAACAAAAATCACTGATGTTATTAATTTATTCTTCAAGTTCAAATAAACGTTTCGGCTGTACTGGGCCTTCTTCGGTATATAAAACGAAATTCGCATACATCGAAATAAATTAACGCATTATCGGCGGTGGATTTCTTACAAACAGACCAACTTCTTTCTGTAACGCGATGTCATGGAGGTTCAGTCGATTTCACCTACGAATCCGACGTGTACTCATTAGGAGACGAGAATAAATTGGTCCTAGGTTCTAGTTTTTCCTTTTTCGATCGGGTGTTCAAATGTTCTCCCGTGTTTTATTACATTTAAATTAGTGTCTAAATGATTTTCATTTTTTAATGTAATTTGACACTAACGTCCTGTCTTGGCTCTTATATCCTTTGTTCCTTCGAATTGCGATTTCACGCCAGAGCCTTACGAATTGTATCGTTACGTTTCGACTCGACGCAACGATACGTCTTGGGAAAACGTCAACATGTCGTCGCGAGGCTTTACCTGTGAGGCACCTGCTGCGCCGTTATCGGCGGCGGCAGTTTGCTGAGAACCTTGGGTGCCGCCGCGATGTTCTCCTTCAGTTGCTGGGACTGGCGCAGCTTCTTCAAAAGTACTAATTTCATTTCCTCGGACTTGAGCTCCTCCTTATATTTTCTAAGCATTCTTTCGCGCTCGGCCAGCTCGTCGGACGACAGCTCCTTGATTGGCAGAATCGGAGGCATGTCACCTGCTTAAGCATTCAACATAATGAGACGTGATATTGCGGTATAAAAATTCACAAATTATTCCCCGTCCGTTAGCGACGTGGCGAAAGATAATTCATAGCAACCTTCGTCGCTGTCCGACGCATTTCCATTTAGATATCCATTCATCCTAGGCCAATCGTCGGGACTCTCGGCGTAGCTCCTCTCGATCCTAGGTCGAAGGTTGCGGCGCGGCTTGCGCTCGTCGCCGCGTTTAGGAGCCAGGATGCCGCGGGCCGCGTTCTGTATGTTACGCGCCTCCGGCATGTTGTTCTCCAGATTCGACCCGGCGGAGAAGTGTATCCCCAAGTCCAGCGGGATGTCGCCGGAATTCAACGGGAGAGACGGGGAGTTGCGTCTGCCACTGCTGCTGAAAGATCACAGAGAGTTAAAGGGACCTGCCGCACAAACGCACAGCGTCAGTAACTGCGCTCTCCGTTCATCGACGCAGGCAGCAGTCTGCCCTTAACATCCAGTGAACAATGAGAAGACGATACTTGTGCCAACTCGCGTCGGTAAACAGATAGCACCCTGCAAGAGTCTACCCAGACAAACGTGCACAGCGCACAAACGTATGCAACGACCCATACAGCACGCATGTCTGAAAGACATCTTTAAGCCATCTTTAAATCGTCTTTTAGATATGTGTCTAAAAGACGACTTAAAGATGCCTCAAAGATGTCTTTCAGACATGCGTGCTGTATGGGGAGGAATCTGATCGAACGGCAAATACACGCACAAGAAGATGGACCGTTCAATCTTTTTTTTATGCCCATGCACCTGTGCTAGTTTCTTTGGACAGACCCTAAAGGTCTGCGTCCACGATCCTAGAAGTGGTCCAAGTTCCAGTCTCGAGAAACGTGTGGCCAATCAACTTGCTCGATCCATAGAAGCGGCAAGTTGTTCGGCTGCACATTGTTTTTCGCACCAAGTTCCTAGCTTCGTGGACGCAGGCCTCGAGACTCGGGAAAAATTCCGAGCTTGTTTCAAGTACGTTCGAGGCTAAAGGGGCAACGACAACCTACTTCTTCGTCCATCGCACGGCGATAAGAACCTAATGGCGATAAGAGGCCCGTCCGGATAAAAGGCGGTCATTATCATTAATTACCATTGTACATATCGTCCCTGTTTTAACGCTCGAAATTGCACAATTCCAGGCGAGATCGCGGAGAGGGGGAGGGGGGGAGAGAAAACTACCGTTACTCCTCTCTTGCCTCGCGTCGAGGACAATTCCGGGCACAAACGCGTCGGAGAGTCGCGACAAACGAGCCCCCGGACACGTGGCACTTTACCTGATGCTCAGGTCCACCACCGAGTCGCCGTCCACATCCATGGCCTCCATCCTTCCGACCGTGGTCACTCTGCAATCACAAATGCACGCGTGAGGCGTCGATCAACCGCGGAGACATATTTCGCTCGCCAGGCGGCGGGAGTCGGGGGGGGAAGAGCCGGGGGGTGAGGGGAGGGGGAGAGGGCGCGAACGGAGGATGTCGCCGTTTGAAAGCGCGCGCTGCGAGGAGGCGGCCGCCGCCGCCGACGACGACGACGGCGATGATCCCGCGGCGCGGAGCGCACACGCCGGAGTCGTGCGTGCGCGCACGCAGCGACACGCACCGCACGGCCGAGCGTACAACTGGGTTACCGAGGCTCTCCTGCGCGCATCCTCGGTACGCGGCCGCCGGAACGCGAACACCGCGGCTACGGCGTGGATCCCCCGCGGATCCCCGAGAGTCCACTCCGGCGGCCGGGAGCGCCGTCACGGAGACGTCGTGGGGCCAGCGGCGCGGCGAGGTGTCCCGTGGCGGCGACGCGCGAAACCGAGGAACATCCGTGACGGAAGAACGACGCCACCAGCGTGAAGGCGCGGAGGGAGAGGGGATGGCGGGGGAGCGAGAAGGAGCGAGGGGAGGGAGGAGAGGCGGGACGGGCGGTCGGCCAATACCTGCGGAAGTAACTGTCCTAACCTAACTTCCACGGGAGTTTAAAGAGAATCGGCAGCGCGCGTCGGCGGGGCCCCGAGTTTTCCCGAGTTTCTGCGGGGACGAGAGAGAGCGTGTGCGTTGGCGCGCGCGCGCGCGCGCCAACGCCGTCCGCAACGCGGGGACAACGGCGAGAAAGAGGACGACGTCGACGACGACGTCGTCGTCGTCGTCGTCGTTGGTGAACGACACGGGGACCACGTCGGTATCACCGGACCACCGGCGTATCACTCGCGGACCGCGCGCTGCTCCTTTTCGGCGGAGCGCGTAGGACACGCATACGCACGGACGCGCACTCTCCCCCCCTCTCTCTCGCTCTCTCTTTCTCCGCCGACCCCCCCCCTTCTCGCTCTCTTTCTCCGCGCTCGCAATTGAAGAATTAAATTTGATGCCTCGGAAGTGGCGTCCCCGACACAATGGCAGCTAAGCGTAGCGGTACAAGACCCGTAGAGTAGGTAGGTCGGTCGAGGGGGCGCGGGGGGCGGGCAAGCGCGGGAGCAGCGGGAGGGGCGGTACGCGGCTCGCGCGCGCGCGGGGAGGGGAACGGTCGCACATTAATTATTTCTCCTCTCACCCCTACTACGACCGCGGCACGCTAGCCGCTCACCCACACACGCGGCCACATCGGGAACGGGCTAGAAACCAATTTCTCTCTTTCCCTCCGTCTTCATTTGCAACACTCGTTCGCTCGCGCGCGCGCGCGCGCTTTCTCTCTCTTCTCTCCGTCGATGTATCGGTCCCATTGCGACCCCCCCCCCGCCCCCCGCGGCCGCCCTTTCTCCCTTTCGCGCCCCTTGCGGGTTTTCCCGAATTTCGTCTCCGTACGTGTCTCCCGCCCCCACCGTCGCCCTCCCGGTCGCTCGCGCGCCCTTATGCCCTACGGGGAATCGATTTTTCGACGGCAGGGTCCCCACTGCCGGCTGCAGCGGCCGCCGCCGCCACCGCCGGTGCGAAGGGCTCGCGACGTTTTTCGGCGCGGGCCGCCGCGCGCCTTCTCACCGTCGTCGTCGCGTCTGCTCGCGCAACGAGAGGCGCGATCATCAATTTCGCGCGGGGGGATCCCCGAGCGAGCGAGCAAGCAGCGTGCTTCGAGGCGTCACGCTCGCGTGCGGCCGCGATATTCGATAGCCCCGGCACGTCGTCTCCCGAGTGTGCCGCTCGCTTGCACGCTCGAGCCCAAGAGTTGCCCTTTTCGCCGTGCGACTCGAGTTGCCGCCGCACGTGGATACATCTTTACTCCGAGTTTCCACGCACGCGAGCGAGCGAGCGAGAGGGCGAGAGAGAGAGAGAGAGAGAAATATGCTCGGCCCTGCCGCGGTCTTAGATCCCCCGCCTCCTCACCTCGCCCGGCTACGCGGCGTCACGTGACGGTCGGTACACGTATCCCGTAGGGGTCTCTAAACTTTCCGCACGCGCAAGCAGGCAGGTATGCGAGCTCCTCGCGTGCGGCGCGAAGTTATGTCATTTCGCGCGGGGTCGGGCCGCGGGAAATCGCCGGCACAACGAGGAGTCCCCGGACGTTCTCGCCACAGGCTCGCCGCGCGCCGGGGCGACGAGATCCGACAGCGTTCGACTGTATTATAGAAAATTCGGTTGCTCGCACGAATTTTTTTTGTTTCTTGAAAATACCTCCAAACCCACATGCTTAATCTTAGTTAAACACCGAATCCAACACTCGGCACTTGAATTCCTTCAGGCGCCGAACTCGTGAAATTTCCCTCCGTCGGAAAATACGCGGGACAAACCCTATCACCGCTAACCTCACCTCACTCGTGTTAGCACAGAGCTATACGAGTAGTCACCCTGCTCGCGATCGACTGCACAATGTAGCGAACTCGGTTACTCGCACTAGTTTTCTTTTCGTTTCCTAAAAACTCCTCGAAACTCACGTGCTTGATCTTGGTTGAACACTGAAGCCAACGCTAGGGGGCTTAAACTCCTTCAAGCGTTGAACTTGTGAAATTTCCCTGGGCGGGAAAATACGCGGGACGAGGAGCGGAACCGAACCCTGCCTCATTGCTAATCCCACTCGTGTTAACACGGAGGTATACCACGTCATCCCGCTCGCACTAGTGCGCACCGAGTACACGCTAAGGTTCATAGTCAATTCTTTTATTTCAGGTTCGTTTTCAATACAGTTGACAAACTATCTAGTTTATCTATCACAAACTGGTCCGTACGGATGCTGCATAGATCATTTTACTAGCGAAGAAGTACTTCAAGAGGTATTTCGGACGATTCTTAAACATAAGAATTGATTGTAAAGAAGCCTTAGTGCGCACTCGGTACGAGCGACCGAATTCGCTATAAATTTCGCGCGGCGTTAGGGTGTGTGAGATCTCTCGCTTCTTCGTAATTGGCAGATTATAAATCGGATCTTTCCTATTCCCTCGACGGATACGTCTTCGCAAGGAGCGATCGTGCCTCCTAGAAGTTAGCCCCCCCCCACTTTTCGAGTTTACCAATTTTGACAGTTGTGCTGAATTGTGCTAGGTTTGTGCTATATTGTGCTAGAAGATTAAACTCGAAATCCGAAAAATAGGGTAGAAAATAAAAAAAATTTTTTCAGTTATGCAGTCAAAACTGTATATCTGAGTTGTGCTGACTTGTGCTAGGCTAGCACTACTCAGATATACAGTTTCGACTGCGTCGGAGAGTCAGAAGCCGAAAATTTTAACAAAGAATGCGAGCGCGAAGGGCCGCGCTCAAGAGTAAAGTGCCCTTAATATCGTTGTGCCAGAAAATTTGAAAGTTGTGCTGACTTGTGCTAGGTTAGCACAACTCAGATATACAGTTTTGACTGCATCGGAGAGTCAGAAGCCGAAAATTTTAACAAAGAATGTGAGCGCGAAGGGCCGCGCTCAAGAGTAAAGTGCCCTTAATATCGTTGTGCCGGAAAATTTGAAAGTTGTGCTGACTTGTGCTAGGTTAGCACAACTCAGATATACAGTTTTGACTGCATCGGAGTCAGAAGCCGAAAATTTTAACAAAGAATGTGAGCGCGAAGGGCCGCGCTCAAGAGTAAAGTGCCCTTAATATACCCCTATTAACCTGAACCCCCCACCATCGCAAATCAAGTTCGCACTAGATCAAAAATTTAGTGCTATTTAGGTGCTATTTTAGTGCCGCAGTCCGAATTTTAATGCTCAAACCGTTTAGCAGGAAATTACGTAAAAAATGGGGGGGTCCAGCTTGCCATTAAGCTGCAACCCCCCATACCCAAAAAATATATGGAGTGACCCTACATACAAAACAAATACACTAGAATTTAGTGCTATTTAGGTGCTTTACGATAACCACAAACATACCCGAAATATTTCACAAATAGCCTTAGAAAATAAATAATTTGTCAGGAGAGCGCGCGCGCCGCGTGGTAAAGTGCGTTACAATGACGTCAGAGAATTAGGTGCTCGAATGAATTCAGTGCTAAAACAGTCCTCAGATATCGT